GCTGCAGGCTTGATCCTTAGCCCTGGTCAGCGTGCATGCGAGAGGCAACCAATCCTTGTTTCTCTCTCATATCGATGTTTCTCTCTGTCTCTCTCCTCCTTTCCACTCTCTCTAAAAATCAATGGGAAAATATCCTCAGGTGAGGATTAACGACAGCAACAAAAGATGGAGAATCCAAGGTTTGGAAAGATTGACCTAATCAACTCAAGTTACATTGTTAGTTCCAGTGGGAACAAAGAACTAAGATGTCCTTCCTCTGGCCTACTGTGGTTATGAACTCTTTTTTTGTTGTTGTTAATCCTTACCGGAGGATATTTTTTAAAATTAATTTTTAGAGTGGAAGGGAGGGAGGTGAGGAGAGAGAGAGAGAAATATTGATGTAAGAGAGACACATCAATTGATTGCCTCCTGCACATGCCCCGACCAGGGCTGAGGAACAAACCTGCAACCCAGGTATGAGCCCTTGACCGGGAATCAAACGTGAGACCCTTTGGTCCTTGGGCAGATGTTCCAGCATGGAGCCACACTGGCCAGGGCCTCTTTTTTTTTTTTTTTAATTATGTATTCATTTCAGAGAGGAAGAAGAAGGAAGAGATAGACGCATCAATGATGAGAGAGAATCATTGATTGGCTGCCTCCTGATGGGGATCAAGGCTGAAACTGGGGCATGTGCCCTGACCGGGAATCCGAGGGTGACCTGATTCATAGGTTGACGCTCAACCACTGAACCACATTGGCCCGACAATTGTGAACTCTAGTTTGAGCAACAGGCATTCACACTCAAACCCTTAATTTACTCTTACTAGCTCTTGCAGAAAAAAAAAAATGTCAGAACTAATGAGAAAATTTTTTATGTTAATTAAAAGTGACTCAGCCCTGGCCAGGTAACTGTGAGATCGGCATCCCACTACGCCAAGGTTGTAGGTTAAGTTCAGTCCCTGTTCAGGGCACATGCAAGAATCTATGCATAAATAAGTGGGACAACAAATCGATCTTTTTCTCCAATAAAGTAAACCATATGAGAAAAGCAATGTGTTTGATCTGGAAGCTAGACACTAACTTTGTTAGGCAAAAGGAAGAGAATACATATCATACCACATGCAGCAGATCCTGAGTGCCTCCCGGGTGGCTATCAATGAAGGCTTTTATGGGTTTTGTCATGAGCTAAAGGAGAACCCCAGGCTCGCTGGCAAGTGTAGGCAGACCCTCCCCATACCTGGATTTGGCAAAGGGCTGGCAGCAGAGTAGGCAGACAGGTGAACTGTTACTGAAGTCCTTTCATTATTTAACAGTTTTTGCAGTATGCTCATCTTATTTCCCCAACTGGCTACAGCTTTTCTTTTTCCCAGGGTGCTTGGCACATTCGCTTCCCGAGATAAGCACCCGATGAGGATTTGAGAGGGAGAGGACTAGTATAAGCATGCTATAACAGAAGCAGTTGCAGTGATTCATGCGATGAGAAATTGTTGGGCAGAAGGAGGTGAAAGTTGTTTTAAAGAAAATCCGAGGAAGAGGAGGTTAAATGGCCTCACATCTTTCAAGCAGCTGAGCAATTTCGGAAGTGCTGTGCATTTCCCTCAACCCCAACCCCCCGAAAAAGTAAAACACTTCTAAATTTACAATGAAGTGTTATTTTATATGTCTAGGTACTACCCCAGCCATTTAAGAATGGTCTTTGGGCCCAGCCAGCATGACTCAGTGATTGAGCGTGGAGCTATGAACCAAGAGGTTACGGTTCAATTCCCGGTCAGGGCATATGGCCAGTAGGGGGCATGCAGGAGGCAGCCAATCGATGATTCTCTCTCATCGATGTTTCTATCTCCCTCTCCCACTCTGAAATCAATAAAAAGTATATATTAAAAAGTAAAAAAGGTCTTTGGAAGCACAAAAAATTACACTGGGTCTTCACAGCCTTGCACAATTCTCTGATCTCTTCAAGGAAGATGCCTCACGGGTAAGAAGGAACAGTAGGCACCTTTACTCCCACCTCTACAGTGAAGATCCCCAGATTTTTTTTTATTTTTCTTCTTGGTACCCTGACTGGGAATCAAACCAGCAACTTTCAGTGCATGGGACAATGCCCAACTACTAATTTTTAAATTGAGCCCCAACTTCGTTTTTTGAGCTCGAAAGTGGCTCTCTCTACATCAGTACTGGACTTCATAGGTTCCTCAAACAGCTTAGGTGCAAAATGGAATTCATCTCTTCCCAAACCTGTTTCTTTGTTATGTATTCCTCCAAGCTAGGGACCTTGAAATTATTCTAGACTTCTTTTTATTTCCCCACTTACTAGCAGCCTTCAAGATCTGTTCATTCCTCCAACAAATGAATGAGTCCTGTCCTCTGCTTCATTCTCCTCCTTAATTTTCTTAGAAAATATATTGATTTTTTTTGCCATTTTCCAGGTTTAAATGTAATGTTTGTAGAGGTAATAATTCATTTGGAAAATGAACATAAAAAGAAGATAATCATTTACCTCACCAGCAAATGATAGCTTTTATTTTACTGTAATACGTGTAGTTCAAAAAATAACTTACATACTTGAGAACAAATATATGGAACTGTTATACCTTGCTTTGTTCTTAACCTAAATAGGAGCATTTTTCGTGTCAATAGGAGCATTGTTGTTAAATCGTGGCATAGCCCTCGAACTTAACCATGTCACCATTACTGTTCTGTTAGGTGCTCTCAAGTGTTTGCTAAGTGACTGATAATGATCTTTATCTGAATCTGATTTTAGGTCAGTTCCTAGAAATGGGGCATCATTTCCTGTGAAGTTCAGCACCTGCTTGTCCTCCCAGCTATGCTTCAGCTTGTCTGGTTGCAGGCCACCAACATTGCAGAATGCTGTTCCACCCACTCCAGGGCTCTTGCCTTGCTTTCATTTGCATTTTTTTTTTAATTTCTAGAGAAGTTGAACATTTTATTTTTGATTTTTTTAATTTCAGAGAGGAAGGGAGAGGGAGAGAGAGATAGAAACATCAATGATGAGAGAGAATCATTGGTCAGCTGCTTCCTGTGTGCCCCACACTGGGGATCGAGCCCACAACCCGGGCATGTGCCCTGACCAGGAATTGAACCGTAACCTCCGTGGTTCATAGATGGATGCTCAACCCCTGAGCCACGCCTGGCGGGAAGTTGAACATTTTAAAAAATGTTTCTTATGCCACATATTTACAGAATAATGTACTCTGGGCTTGGGTTGTGTCCTGAAATGCACACCCTGGTTCTTACTCCAGGGCCAGCTGAGCTGGGGCGGCTGCTGCCTGCTTCCCTGAGTTCCCACGCTGTTGGTGTCGATGAGTCTCTTGGGTTCTTCTTTAAAAATCAGCTTAACTCACCCATTTAAATGTCCTATTAGAGATATTTAGTATATTCACAGGGGGCACCCATCACCACAATCTAATTTTAGGACATGTTCGGACTTCCTAAAAGAAACTCAGAGCCCACGAGCAACATGCCCTATGTCTCCCCATCTCTCCCACATCCAGCCCTAAGCAGTTCCATTCTTCCAGCCTCAGCACCCAGCATGGCATCAGAGTCAGTGAGCAGCCTGTGTAGGTTGTCTAAATCCCGAGGACCTGTTGGCTCCATCCCCTGGAGCCCAGCTTACTGTCGGTCGCACAGGGCGAGTGGAATGCTCTGGGCAGCAGTGGGCAGAGGAGAGCTATGCGAGTGCAGGATGGGTGTGCAGCTGGACCACGGGCGCCCGCGGGGGTGGGGGAAAAGCTAGGCACCGGGGATGCGGGAGTGGTAGCGGCCCATGTCCGGGGTGTGTCCCCGGCGGGGCCTGGTCTAGGGTCCGCGAGGGTCGCCTGGAGATGGTAGCTGGCCGCTGGGTGCTGGCGGAGCTGCCCCTCCCCGAGGGGCGCCAG